AAATGGGAACGACGCGTGATGAACCGCGTCCATGCGTGCTCCGAAGACTTTGGAAGCGTGTCTCCGCAACACTATCTCCAGACAAGGCGGTGCACTACACACTCTCATCCCCGCCGCGTCATGTCGTAGTGATACACAACCACATCGCGCAACGCAACAGAAAAACCTAAAGTGGTAGAGAAGTCAGTACTCACATGATACATAGCCCTTCATCAGGTTCCGCACGACAACCTCCGAGCTGAGAAAGCCAGGACCCGGTTTTCCGTTCTCGTCTATCCAGCATTCCCGCGGTGGCGTCACCGGAGACGCAACGCTCGCCACCGACGTCGCCCGCGTACTGGGCGAAGACGCGTAGTCCGCGGAGAGCAGCGACGATGCTCGTGAAGTTTGACGGCTCGACACAGAGGTTAGAGAGGAAGCTCGCGAGGCCGGTTCGGTAGGATCATTGCTGGGTGGCGAGACGCGTCGCCTCTTGACAACCTTGCGCGCGAGGTCGTCAGGGCTTTTCCGCTTCGGCAACGCGAGATGTTCGCGTGAGGTCGACGAGTGGGCCTCTTGTGCCGTTACCTTGATCGTCGGAGCGCTTGCATGGTGTTCTTGGGACGCAGGGACGGCGACGAGGCGCGTCGTGACGAGCGTCGAGGAGCCAGAGGAGAATTTGAGAGTCGAGAAGAAGCTGTGGTCGCCAGAGGGGGCGAAGGACGAGCTCATCGTCGTGGTCGGTGTCAAGGGCGTGGTCGGTGGCGATGAGCTCATTTGCTGCAGACTGTGCAGTCGCCGGCTCCGGTCATATTGCCCACGTGGAGTTGCTCGTTCCGGATTGGTTAGTCCTCGGTCGAATGCTCCGTTACTGCCGCATGCGCACGTCTTCCAGGACTCTGCAAGACCACTAGGTCCTGGCCTCTTCTACTTTATATTTCCGAGCTCCAGGAATTTGTTCTGCCTGGCGATGAGATTCACATTGGCCAAGTGAGAGGGGGGATCTTGTGCAATGTTGTACCTACTATAAATGGCAAATCCACGTGGCGCTAATGCTGTCTGTGATGGAGAGACTCGACGGTTGCCGCGGACTCGACGGTTGCCGCGGAGTCCGCTGCTCTTCCTACCGCTACCTCGTCGTCCAGCTGACGCGTTCTTCATCGACGCCCGACATCGACGCCCGACATCAACGCCCGACATCGACGCCCGACATCGACGCCCGACTTGCTGCCCGACATCGACGCCCGACTTGCTGCCCGCTTTTCGCTGCTTTCTCGATCGTCTGTCCTTGGCTCCACCGTGCTCTCTGCACTGGTTGGCTGCCCACGCCGCCGCTTGTCCTCTTTGCACCCTCTGCCTACCCGTCCTTCGTCTGTCCGATAAGCGCTTCCATTATGTCTGCGCGTGTATGCTAGTCCGTGAATACATGCGTCCGCCCGCGAGCCCTCCGTCCCGTCCCATCCCAACGGCGATCACGACAACGACCTCGCCCGCCAGCTCGACCTCATGATGGCTCACGACCTGCAGGATTCCCGGCAATGTCCCATTGCGCGCTCAACGAGCTCGTCCGCTCGTCTCCCATCGACGCGCGACATCCACCTCCCACGCGCCAACGCGCCTCGCTCCCATCGTCCTCTACATCCGCCGCCATCCACAGCAAACACCTTGCGCTGCATATCTCCCCCACCCCGCCGCCGCCCACCGCACCGTCCGACATCCCACCTGCACCATACCACCTTTGCGATTCTCCTCTGCGCGGTATCGAGCGCCTTGTTGGCGTTGAACTCCCCCCCTTCATCGCGTCCGCCAATCTGGAGGACGACTTGCGGCACCCACGTGAGCAAGAAGTATGTCCACCGCCTCACACGATTTCCCCTGCCGCATACGCGAGCGCCGCGTTCTCGCACATCCTCTCATCCGTCGCCACCAACATCGACGCCGAGAAGAGCTTCATCAGACACCGGACTTGGAAAAGCTGAAGGCATATGCATCAGAGGCGTAGGCGTTACCCCAGCTGTACCAATGGCAGAAGGAGCGACCCGGACCTCAACCGCAGGGGGGAGAGATACCAATGACCGACGAGGGATACCCTCCCCCAGCCCCTTCTTATCCCCTCCCCGTCCCAGCACGGCGTGCACGGACCACCGGCCCCCCCTCCTCGCGTCGACCCGCAAAGTGCGACGGCGTCGCACCCTCCCAGGCCCCGCGGCTGCGAAGCGTGTCCGGGTCGCCCGCCGCCCACCGCCCGGGAGCGCGTCCGCTCGCTTCTGCGACGCCCGGGACCACCCCAGCGTCGCGAGCCCCGACCCTTGCCGCCCCCGTCGGGCTGCCGTCGGTCGGTACGTTATGTGAGACTTTTCGAACGCGGCGAACACCCGTTTGATAGCGTGCTACAACGCGTCTTCGTATGCGCTTCGTGTCATTTCGGGCGCCGGCTTGCGATCGTATCACCCGGAGCATGTGGACCCGTCGGGGAAGTTCGACAAGGCGGAGTGAAGGTGTTGACCGACAGCGAGATACTGTCGTCGGTCATTGGCAGCGAGATGGACTGGCTTGAGGTACATTCTCTGTCGTAGTCCGGCTAATCAAAGTGTTTTCCTGCAGTGCCAAGTTCGCGTTCAGAAAAAGGACACTTGCGGTTATGGAGAGTCGTTCACCGTCAGCTAGTGGCACCTCACAATTAGATCTGCAACTGCCCTGGACACGTATGATCATATCTCATTCTCTCCGACGGCTTGCGTGCAACGCCCGGCACATCACTAATACCTATCGTACCTCTGACCGTGTATGCATAGTCGCAATTTGAGTAGCCGTGCCCCCCTCACTTCTCTTCCGACGTCCCAATGGGTACGCTGTCCTCCGAGTGCCGTTCTGGTATGTATCGCTAAACTAGGTACACTAGAACAAGATGTGTAAAACGTGGGCAGGAACACCAAGACAGAATTTTGGCGCAGAGCACTGGGAGCACTAGAAGTGCGCTTCTCAGCATCCATTCGAACCCGCCGCCGCTTTGTAAGTATCCCAGCAGGACTACGTTTGCCGATCCCTCCCTGACCACGTCCCCCACCACAGCAGTATCCCAGCGCCTTGAATATTGCCGTCGTGGGCAACTTCTCCGACGAGATTCCCGAAACACACATCGCGTGGATCAAGAAGCGGGAGATGTTCTTCGTCGCCACCCCGCCCCCCAGTGCCGACCGGCTCGTCAATGTCTCGCCTAAGGGTGTCTGCGACTCGTTCCAGAACAGGGCGTGGTACGAGCATCTGAGTGGGAGTGTCCCGTTCCGGGGACGCCTTAGTCTGACGCGAACCACCACAGGCATCGAGACGATCTCGCACCTGTAGGAGAAAGAACGAACGGATGGCGACCATGTTCTGCGCGTTGGAGGGCGCGGCGCGCGTCATGCGCATCTGGGGCACGGGCAGGGTGCTTGAGCTCGGCACCCTGGAGTCATTCCCTCGGAGAAACGTCTGGCAGGGTCGCATGCGGCGATCGTTCGCCTGACACACACACACACACACACACACACCGAGACGCGAGTGGCCTTGCTGTGCGATGACCGACTCCTGTGGGTACGCCGTGCCGATTTACACCGTCATGTCCCGCCGGTCAGCTCTACTCACCTGGTCTGACACAGGGTGGACGATCGGCTGCAAAGCCGTGGACGATGATGTCCCTGGACGAGCGGTTTGGGCGCATGGAAGACCTACTGCTTGTCTTGGGACAGAGGGAATGTGCAGGTTCCATTCCTCGTGGTCAGATTGCCGTCGGATCGACACCGACCGCGGCTGGCTTCCATACCACCACCTCCTCTCCGTCATCTCGCTAGCCCCCAAGCACATTCTCATCGTCTCTGACAGACGCAAGCGCTACTCGAGCGGTCGGATCAAACAGAACTCAGGGAGGACGAGTCGGAGCTGACGGAGTAGAGACGGGCGCTGACTGGGACAATCCTCCAAGGTCAGTGTCGCAATATGCCTCCCTCTCATGATCCCTAGCTCTCAGCACCGCGTCCTGAGCCCTACTCCCCTTCTCAGACATCGTTCAATCAAAGCCGCTGAGGGGGACACGCCGCTCGAGTAGTGTGGAGCACGCCATTGCATGTTACCCACCAAAGGTGCGTCCCTGATCTTTCGTCCACTTTCTTGCGCTGAGCACGAGCTTGGAATCTCGTCCCAGATCAAATCAATCAACCCGAGGCTCTTGACGACATCTCGTCTCGCACGACATCGCAACCATGTCCGCACGATAGTCTTGCTCAACAAGCATACCGATACCCTCTAGTTCTGTCATGCACAGCTTGGAAAGCGTGAAACCCTTCTTCACCTGCATCGCGATCGACCCGTGTGCCAGTCGTAGTGCATCCGACAGCTTCAACTTGGGCCGGAGCGTCCCGCCACCCATCCGATCTGCTCGACGAGATTTCGGCCGCACATTATCGGTGGCACGACATCTCCTACTCCGTCTCGTGAACCGGCTTGTGAACCGCTGTACTCTCCGTCTACGTCTCCAGCGCGTCCTCGACGCTCGAGCCCTGGTCTTTTCACCTAGTCTCCTGTCAGTTCAGTCGCCCATTGTGTACTTCCCCTAGTAATGTGGCCATCCCCCATCCCATAGCTTCCCACAGCCAGCGTATTTAGACGATTCTCCACCACGGGTCATGCTTCGCACCGAACCCACGCCATCTGTCATTGCTGCAAATTATGCCGCGTTTGGCCACAATCACAACATCGTATTCATATTTCCGTTGGGAGGTTACGCCTGTGTGGGAGACAGCGATGACGGGAGCATTGTTTCTGCCGCGAGTCCTCCGCCCGCTGCACACGGTTACTGTACCCAGCACGAAAACTATACTGCCGCTGCCAAATAGGTGGAGTGAGCAGGATTGTACCCTCACATTAATGTGTCGCTTGATGGG